GCGCTGAAACCGCAATCTTACATCGAAGCGAACCGAACCCCCAAATCTGAGAGGACACAAGGGCACCCTTGACCAGGGCCGCGACCTCCCCGAGGCGCGACGCGCCCAGAACGCCGCGGGCCAAGCCGCCGACACCCGCGGAAAGCACAGGACACAAGGGCACCCTTGCCCGGGGAATGCAGAGGACACGAAGCGCGATGCACAGGACACGAGAGTACCCTTGATTTGGCAGGCCCGACCTACTAATGGACTCCGACTGTATCTTGGGCATGAGCTCAATCGTGTGCAATGGCGAGGACCGCGATTGTGGACACGCAAATGCGCGTGTCACTGGGGCGTTCGGTGGGGCTCCCTATGGGGCCACGAACCGTGCGATAGATGCGCCGTGATGTGTGTGGTGCGTGGTGTGTGTGTGTGTCTGTGGTGCCGGTCGTGTGTGTGTGTGTGTCGTGTTTGTGTGGTGGTGGTTGACGGTTGGTGGTGGCGGTGGTGGTGTGTGTGGGGGGGGGGGGGGGCGTGCGTGGGGGTGGCGGTGGTCGTGGTGGGTTGGTGGTGGCGGGGGTGGAGCTGGGCGGGGGTCTCTGGGTGGGTGGGCGGGCCATGGGCGGCGCAAACGCCATGGGCGGCGCAACCGCACGTGCACGTGCCGTCATAGGCGGCCAAACGCAGTACACGTCGCTTGGAGCTCCATATGGGCCCGCGAATGGCGCGGGCAAAGGTCGCCATTTGGACTTTATGTGGAGCTCCTCATGTGGCCACGGGCCGCGTGATGGGGCGTACCGTAATGGGCGGCACGGACGCTTGTACGACGCCGCCTCAAGTGAAATCCCCGATGCAGCCACGGACCGTGCGAGGGGTGCGCCGCAATGGGTTGCGCGCGCGCGTGCGAACTTCGCCACTGGGGCCTTGGGTGGAACTCTTTCTGAGGCGACGGGCCGCGTGATGGAGAGCGTCGCAATGGTTGGGCAGCTTTTCGCTGAGATCCTTCTGGGGCCACGAACCGCGCGAGGGCGCGCCGCGATGGGTGGCCCAGGAGCGTGCGACCGTCGCCACGGGTGCTTTAAGTGGAGCACCATGTGGGGCCGCGAACCGCGTGATGGGGCGCGCCGTAATCGGTGGCGCGGACGCATGTCCACGTCGCCACAGGGGGCTCAGATGGAGCCCCCTTATGGGGCCACAGTCCGTGCGAGGGTGCGGCGTGATGAGCGGCGCGGACGCATGTAAGCGTCTCTACTGGGGCCTTGGGTGCAATTCCATAAGTGGCCATGAACCATGGGAAGGGCGCAGCGTTGTGGCGCGGATACGGCGCACGGGACTTGTGCGTAGGCGTCGCGCGCGCGCGTGGCACACCGACGTGGCGCATGGACATTCGCGCACGGATGCCACGCGCGGGCGCTGCTGCGCACGGGCGTTGCGCGCGGACGCGGGGGGGAGGGGGGGGGGGGGGGGAGAAGGGCGCGAACAGAGCGGGGTCTCGATGGAGTGGGGTCGGGTGGGATGAGGGGTGGCGGTAGGGGCGGGAGGGGGAGCGGCGGGGGGGCTAAAATTGCGCGATGCAGGCGCGCCGTAAAGTTCGCGTAGGATGAATACATTTAAGAATATGGCGATCCACATCAAAATAGCAACGACGCCTTAACAGTCGCGGCAAACGAAGAAGAGCAGCGCTGGCTGTGCATTGGACAAGGTAAGGAGGTATATTGCACTGGTACACAAGAGTTGCGATTAGTTGCAGGAGCCCGCGTAGAGCAAAGCCTGATGGGGGGGGCGGGCATTGGATAGATTGGGCAGGAAATGTGCACGTGGTCTGCGCATGCGGATTGGGCGTTGAGTTGCGCTGTGCTACCGCGGTGACATTTGCGTCGTGGACGCCGCCATGGCGGCCGCGTGTGTTACGAAATCTACGCGTCGAACCCTGGGGAGACGCCCGCGTCGAACTCGGTTTTGCCGCCCTTTGCACCACCGCTACATGTGGATAGCGTCTGGCTGGCGTTTGAATATGCCAGGGTGAGGCGGGATGAGCTGCGGGGTAGGTTTGCGGACCACGCTAATGCTACGAATCGTACGGCGCAGGATAGTTGCAGACATGCGGTTGACCTTGATCACAGCATGTGTAGGAGTAGGGGTTGGAAAGGGCGCGGTAAGGCACGTTCGTGCAGAGTAGATTTTCAACGCTCTAATTATGCATAAAACGAAGCCAGCGTAGTGTCTAAATAAAATTGGATGTAATAGAACCTAGTGCCTCCAGCGAAAATGGAGGGCAGGATCCCGTTGAGTACGACATGGGCTGGGGTAGCGTGGCGTGGAAAGCATGCACACACAATTTGTTATAAGATCTCTTCTGGTGAGCTGCTCGTTGGCGGAAGGGGAGGAGCAGGGACCAGGAAAATCGACAAAGGTTACTTACTGAAAAGTTGTTGACCGCGCGCCGCCGACTAGCGTGGAAAAGTGTCACGGGAGAAAAGGTATGACAGGCAAACACGACATCAAATGACGAACTGGATGTGACCGCCTGGATGGCACGTGCCACGGCGGAAGCCCCATGGAGAAAACCAGATGTGCATTTTTGGCTGGGCGCCAACATGAACCAAGGAAGCCTCAGAAAGGCAACTCGTGACACGTGTCACCGAAGAAACCGCTAGAGGAAAGCCAACGGTGCATTTTTGATTCTGGACGCCGCCATGATCCAAGGCAGCCTCAGAAAAGCAACGGGCGATGCGTGTCACCGCGGAAACCGCTTGGAGAAAACCAAACGTAATCGTTTGATTCTCGGCGCCAACATGAGCCAGGGAATCTCCAGAGGAAAAGCAGGTGACACGTGTCACCACGGAAACCGCTTGAGGAAAACCAGTGGTACATTTTTGAATCTGGATGCCATCATGGGCCAAGGGCGCCTCAGAAGAGCAGCGGGTGACAAGCTCCCGCGGGGGAGGAGGGGGGAGGCAAAGAAGGGGGCGTGGGGAACATGAAGATATACCGTTGCCGGATCAAAACTGACCCAAGATCGGGGAGAAGGCGACAACCCAAAAATCTGCAAGGATGCCCAAGGGGCCGTGCAACGCCATTACGCGGCAAGAAACGCGCGGGGATGCGCCCGCCCAAACGAGAACATGGGCAAGGATACGGAGGGATCCCCAAGGGTACCCTTGCCTCCCCCATCCCTGCGACGCCGCCGTGCAACGGGCTCAAAACCCCAAACGGCAAGGATGAATGCGCCGCCAAGGGTGCCCTTGGACGGCCGAGGCAGCAGCCAAGGATGCCGGGAAAGGATGATGGCTTGACGTCTTATGGCTTGGGGCGCCTTAACCGCGCTAGTGGGCCAAATTTCCTGGTGGCACCACCTTTGATTGCACGCTGGGCGACCGCGTCCGTCGCGGTCGCGCTTCATGTTGTCTGCGGGCGGGCCCCGCCACTTGCAATTCAGAACCTGCGGCGCAGATTCCGTGACACTGCGGGCGGGTAGGATTCGTCCACCCTTGAGTCGCCTTTCACAGTTCTTGTCCTGCTCCACGACCCGCGCACCAGTGGTGGCGACGCATGCGGCCTGGAGCTGGGGGCGCGGCGAGGGCCGACAACGCAAAACAGAAGCCGACCCCGAACTGGCTACGCATGCTGGGCGTGTATCATTATCGCAGTGTCGTACGGGTCGAACATTGGAATGCCCCTGCACCCGTCCACTCAGCCTACCCCCTATGACCCGCGCAATTACAAAAAAAATCAAGTAAAATTTTACTTGGCGTTTCAATTCTTGGGTAAATCAATTTCGTAGTGATGCAGCGGTATAAAATCCACATCATGGCCCCCCCCGTGTGTTCCTCCTGCGCGATTCTCCCATCTCATCTCTCCTCACCCTTCCTCCTCCCCCTATCATCCCCCCCGGGCTTCTCCCTCCGCACTCATCATCCCTCATTCCCTCCCCCTTGCCTCCTGCTTCAACTCGTCCTCCCTTCCTACCTCCTCGACCTCTTGTCCTCACCCCGCCTTCATCCCTCCTTCTCCTCTTCTGTCCCTCCTACTCCCCCCCCTCTTTCCTCCCTTCTCTATCTCGTCTCTCCTCCTCGCTCCCTCCTCCCTTCAGCCTCCTCCTTTCCCTCACCCCACCCTCCTCCCCTTTTTCATTTCTCCTCCTCGTCCTCCTCTCCCCCTTCTCCTCCCTCCCCATACCTCTGGCGTCGTGATTTGGTCAGCGTGGGCCCCCAGGAATCTTGACCTCTCCTTCCAGGGGGCCACTTCTTCATCCAGGGAAGCTTTAGACGGTCCTCCAGGGCATGGCAACTGCCAAACATTTTCCGTCGCGAGATCTCGCGACTCCAGGAGGCCTGGAATCCTCCTACCACCCACGCCATCCGACCATGTATCTCTGTGGAATTCGCGAACCCCTTTCTCAGAGAGTTGTTTGTTGACACATCACGCCGTCTCCATCGGTATCTTTGGACTCGGGCGACGTGTAGGACCACCCTGGCTTCAACCATTGACGCCAGCTTCGCATTGAAAGCTTCAGCGAGAAGGAAGCCATGACGGATGACATAATAGCAAGCATGAGGATGCATAGGGTCAACACTTCGCTGGGCCAACCTACGGCTTGCGAGCGTTACGTAACAATTGCGCGGACTGCCTGCCCAGATTCCGTTGTGGATGACAGGCGGGCCAGAACAGGGAGGAGCAGAGCAGACAAACACATAACGATGCATAACGAAGTCGTTACTCTGCGAGAATTCCAGCTGCATTGGCATATCACGACTGCCATGCAGCGCACCAACAAAACATAATAGTGGGGAAGCGAAGTACTGGTGTCACCGCGACGATGCCAAATCTTCGCAAACAAAAAAAAGCCGAATATCGGCCACGCTACTGGTACAGGATGTTGGCATCCATATAGCCGAGCCTGGTTTGGGGGTCTAATCCTCGGCCAGCCAGGGTGCACGGCCTGGCATTTGCTGGCCCAGATGAGCTGTTGTACGCTTGATGGACCGTTGCGGCCAACTTGACCGATCCGAACGGTTTCAGAGACCAACGCCCAGATCCTCGCAGACGGCTGGGACAACGGCGTTGACGCCCAGTGCAGGCATGCCGTCGTGGGCTTCGTCGGTGCGCCTGTGTCTGCAGAGCACGATCGACCCCGAAATGTTCAAGCGGCCGCACCGCTCGAAAGGGATCGCGGCGGCGGGAACCTCCTCGAGACGAATGTCGAGGGACTTCATCTTCAAGAACGCGTTCCTGAAACCGCCCGCGATGGCGTGATCCGTCATCAGCCCGTAAAAGGAACCGAAGGGCTCGGCAACCTCCCGCTCGGCGACCACCACGTCGTTACAGATGCCACCCATCTCTGGCGGACCGCATCTCTGCGCGAACGCGCGCCCGGCGTCCCCGTCGAACATTACATCGCCGCCAGATTGTAGCAGCCTGTCCATGTCGAAATCGAACAACCAGTTCGAGTCGTCACGGGTAATCATCACATACCTGTACTTCTCGTTCTTGTTAGCCTCGGCCTCCTTCGCGAGCGTCCAGAGATCCTCGAGCTCTTGGTACAACTTGGCAACGCTCCCTCTGGCGGCCTGGGCATGCGCCGTGGTCTCATTGCACGGCCTGTAATCAGACCTGGCCTTGTCGCAAGCCCACTTCGTCCACCTGGTTCCGCTGTGCTGGAACTCCAGGCCTCTCGCGGAGAGGGTCACCCGCGCAGGTATCCTGATAGCGCCAACGCTGCCCCCGCTTTTGTTTATCCCTTCGGCGATCATGCCCTGAACCTCGTCCAAGCCCTTGCCACCATACGCAGGGTGCGCGACGAAGAGGTTTTCAACAGGGCTCGAGGAAACGACACCCTCGACGCTGAGACTGAGGTACACGTCCACCGCGTGACCCCGCCGTGCGAGCGGTGCGACGACATGCCTGTCGAGGTTAGGGAAGTACCGGACGAGGTCGCCCGCAACCAGGATGGCCACGCCGTTCCCGACAGGGATGGGGACGGGGCGGAGATAGACCCAACACGCGGCGGCGGCCGCGACCGCCACGGCGGCGACGACCAGGCAGGCCGGCGACGCGCGGCAGGGCCGGCCGCCGGCGGGGCCGTGCGCCGCCGCAGCGCCCGTCAGCGGGGCGGCCGGGGAGGCACCGGCACCGGCCCCGCCGCCCGCAGCTGGCTCTGCTGCGCCAGGGCTCGGCTCGGTGGGTTCCATGCCCGCCGTGGGCCGCACAGGGAAGGCGCCAGGCTTGGGAGCCTCGCCCGGCAAGCCGAAACTGGCTGAGCCAAAATGGCTGCGGATCAGGTGGGGGGGCACCTGGTGCCAGATCCATTCAAGATCGTCCCCCGGTCCCGAAGCCCGAACATCCCTGCACGAACATACGAGCTTTCGACGGCGAGCGCGGATGTCTTGGATCGGCGCTGGACCCCCCTGGGCGCGCGGGGCGCGCCAGGGTCGGCGCCGGAAGCGCCGCGCCGCCGAGCAGAGCAATGCCCGGGGACCTCCAGAGACTTCTCTTTTGCAGCTTCCCCCTCTCTCTTCTTGCACGAAGCTGTAGAACACGGGCCCGGAGTGAGCGAAGCAATCTTTCGGATTTGGAGTACCATGTGGGACCTGCTCTAGAATAGGAACACACCGTAGAAAGCTCTAAGCGTGGGGGGTACCCCCCCGACGGGGGTCAACCTCGCCTCGTCGTCGCGCCGTGACGGGGTCGGAGCGCCTTCGGCGCGCGGCGGCTATCCGCGACGGGGGTCGATGTGGGGCTGTCGCCCCCCCGACGCTTATTAAGAAACTCGGGGTATCCTTTCTCCGACCTTGGGCTGCGCGTAATGCAACGGCCGCGTTGCCTTTAGACGCATCCCCCCAATGTGTCTACATACGCAGCGACACGCAATGCGTCTGTAGACGCTTGTGGCTGGATAGTGAGAGCGGTATTTGGCACAGGCCCGAGATGCGTCGCAACGTCGTTTGTTCTCAACGCGCTCAAAAAAACGACGCAAACACCACGGCAAACCCACGGCAAATCCCCGCGGCCCGCGCCAAAGAAGACGAAGCCGGCACCGCAGCAAACCCGCGGCAAACCCACCGCGCCCGAGGCGGCGTTCGCCCTGGTGGACGCGGCGCCCTCCCCAAGACGCAAGGCCGCGCGTCGGAGCAAAAACGGCACGATTGGCCTTCTAGAAGCAAGTGGACACTGTCATCCAACTTCGGATGCCCGGGTCGCCATCGCCGCCGCGATCCGTCGCCGGAGCAGGCGCCCCGCGGGCGCGGGCGCGCCTTGCCGGTCGCCCGTGCGCCGGTGCACCTGGGGGCCACGCTCGGAGCGCGGGCGGTCGCCCCGAGAGGGGGGGGGGTTCTGGGACTGCGCAGCTGATGCTCGGCGGGGAGCGAGGGGGGGAAGCTAGAAGCGGCGGCGGGGTTTCTCAAAAGCCCCTCGCGCCTTCCGAAAAAGGTTCTCTGCGTCTCTCGGGACGGCTCAGAAAATTTCTCAGAGGGCTGGGGGAATTCCGAGCCTTCTGAGAGGGCCCGCCCCTTCTCACTTCGCCCCCTGGCGCGCCGCCGAGATTCGACCGCTAGCTGGTCAGAGACAAAAGCGGTGCTCCACTTGCCAAACGAGACTGGATCTGGGCCGCAAGCGGTGCACCGCAGGCGCTGGCTGAGGACAGTCGGCACGGGCGCAGGGAGCTGGCCCGTTTATGCACGCGCGCGTCGGCCTCCCTGGCCCTTTTTTCTCGCACGCGCAGGCGCCGGTGGCCCGTTTGCATTCACGCGTGGGCGTCCCTGGCCCGCTTGCGCGCACGCGCGCGTGGGAGAATTGGATAGGGGGGGCAAGGGGGGAAGACTGGACGGGGGGGCAAGGGGGAGGAAGGGGGGGGGAGGGGAAATGAAATGGGAGGAGGAGGAAGAGATCACCTTTGCTTGGTGGTGGCCGAACTCTGCATGCGCAGCTCTCGAACTTCATCGGGGCACGTATGATGGGAGCTACGCGTCTGCACAACGACACGAGCCACTCGACGTGACGCGCCGTGCTGCGGCGGCGCTGCTCCGAACCTGCCATGGTGGCGGAATGGCGAGGCGGGTAGACGGAAGACGAGGGGATCCGGCTGCTGTTCACCACTCGACGTGACGCGCCGTGCTGCGGCGGTGCTGCTCCGAACCTGCCATGGTGGCGGAATGGCGAGGCGGGTAGACGGAAGACGAGGGGATCCGGCTGCTGTTCCAGATAGGGGATGTGCGAGCAGCTGGAGAGGGGAGCGAGGCAGCGGAGGCGAAACGGGCCCCCTGACGCCGACACCGTGGACTAACTGCAGCGGCGCGGGAAGTCACCACAGGGGCAGTTGGGCCTGGACATCCAACGTCTTGAGTTAATGCATGGTTTTGGGTCGCCAGGAATTCTCGCCTGTCGCAAAATATATGATGTGTGTTTGCTCGGTCGATGTGTCTCATACGGCGAATAACTATATGCATTTGGAGGCCGTCTCCGGACTACGGAAACGTCCCAGAACTGACCAGGATAAACAACTGGCCCTGCGGACAAGGTCGGCCCTTCCGTTGAGCAATGACCGACCGTCCCGGCAGTCCTATAGGCTTACCACGATTCTTAAAACCCATGATATGTAAGGCAAGACAATGTTCTTATCACATAAGCCCGATGTGTTTAAACAAGACAGTATCGGCCAGAAACGTTCAAAGAACATGCCGTGCAGACCAGAGAAGGTCCTTAGAACATTGCTTGGTGGGCCCAGAAGCGAGCCAGGATGCTTTGCCACTGCTTTATTCCAGTGACCCCGCATCGAACAAACATCCAGACATCGGATGTCTGGGATACGAGAACCTGCTGGATGACTTTTTGTACGCCTCCAGCGCCTGCAGCCTTTGCCTCAGTCCGTGGGTATGGGCGCAACGCCGCTCCGCGTCCACTACGAGGACGCCTCAGCAACACCCGGCCGCACCGGCCGCTCATGCCGAGGACCTCCGTGCTGTGAGCGCCCTCCAACCTGCCTCCTGCTCCGCGGCCGCCTTCTCGCTGCCGGACAATGAACACGCTCTGCCCCAGCTCCTAGGGCGCGCGTGCGGATTGCCTCTGCCCCGACGCGACGGAACAAATGTCTGGGAAACGACCTTTCCGCGGCATATCTCGAGCCAGGTCAATCCGTGAGTCCGTGAGGGTCCTGGGCCAAATCACGGGGTGAACACCGCCCGTGTGATGTTCCACGACGTGCGGGTGTGAGGGTGCTCCTCCCTCCGGTCGGCGAAAGCAACAGGTTCGGGTCATGGCGACCCAGGCGTGGGTTTCTGACACCGTGTGCATCGTTCAACCTCGTACGATCGCGGCTTAACCGTCGCGCAAGTCTATACGGGCCGATTCCAGGCCACGGGCGGCGTTCAACCTTGGGACGCCCGCGCCAAGGTCGCCACCACGTAGCCTGCAGTGGCTCGGTCCAAAGCGGCGGCTCGGCACGGCCCGGGTCTTCACAGAAGGCCCTCACAGATATGCGCAGCCTGACGGAAGGCCCCCCCAGGGCCCGAAGAGGCCCTAGAATGAAGAAACCTTTGAAAACTGGCAGGAACTTCGCGGACGAAGAACTGCACAAAGGAAACGTGTTGCCTGGGGACTGGACGCCTGCCTCAGGACTGCTGGAGGTCGGCACGTGGGGTTACGGACTCTCCAGTCGTCTTGGGACAGGCGTCCCAGATAGCGGACAAACTTCTCCTATACTCTACACCAGGATTCGCTCCTAACACAAAACTCGTCCTCGTTTCACTCCCTCCTCGAGCCCTCGGAGGAGGATAGTAAGCGGCCACATAAGAGCCCTAATTACCGCCGCTCGTCTGATTTCTGGGTATGGGCCCAAGACACCGGTGAGGGCTCATAAACCCAAAGCGGTAACGAGCCGATCGAATCCCCACCGGTGAACCCCTACTGGCCAAAATCGATGGATAGTGGGACACCCAGACAACCGACGTCGACACACAGCAAAAACAACAAGAGGTTTGACGATCCCAATGCCCGACTGAGTGGGACTTTCGAAGGGCCAAATAATTTGGGGCCCAACGCGGAGATGTACGACGGGGGGTCCATCCTCGATAATGGGGTGCGCCAGAATAGCCAGCTCGGGGCAAATCCCCGAGCTGTCCTGCTCCTCTAAGCGACCAGCTCATTTGGAGAAGCTCGAGGATTGGTGGCGAGAGATCGCTGGCGTAGGACGGGTGTGTTTGTTCTGATTCGGGCCACCCTCAATGACAACTTTCGTTATTCAAGACCATCCGACTGTGACATAAGACGATAAGACGACCCCCGGGCAGGGGTCAAGAGTTCTGGGTGAGGACATCATAGGTCACAAAACCGTCCACGGCGACAGAACAACCGCAATCAGGTAGAATCGACAGTGCAACCGAAACCGACAGGCCGCAAGCAGCCTAGACTGGCGCAGCGACGCAACAACGACAGAACGACCGACCGAACCGAGCCGACCGAGCGCAGCCGACCGCGAAGCAACCGAACCGAGCAAGCCGCAGACACCCCGGCCCGGGACATCGCCCCCTGGAGAAGGAGGCCAGCCGAGACCACGGCAGCCCCCCCGCGAGGTGCAAACCCGTTCAACATCGGTCTCCAGACCCCTCCCAGGCCCCATCCTCACCCGTAAGGCGGATCCAGCCGTGACGACGAATGGCCTCCAGGAGGCCCCTAGACCCTGAGCCAGAGGTCCAGGGACGAAAAACGGCAGGGAGGGCCACCGTGTCGACCTGGCCCTCCTCGGATGCTTCTTGAATCGATGGGATCCGAGTGACCAGAGGGGGTCTGAGGAACGCGCCGCATCCCCGATGAATCGGCGATGCATCGGCGACGTCGGCAGTGCATGAGCGGCGTCGCCGTGGAAGATGTCGGGCTCCACATCCAGCTGCATCGCCGATACATCGGCGATGCGGCGCAGTCCTTGGGTCCGTTCCCAAATACTCGGAACCCACTTTGGAGGCCTAGATTGAAGTCGGGCCTGTCCCCTACGGGGGGATTTTCGACGAAAATGGAAAATACTCAAACAATATTCCAAAATGGTCACACATAATCTAAAAATAGCCCCCAGACAGTTTTTTACTTGTTTTAGATATCCCCCCTGTAGAGGGACAGGCCCGACTTAAGCTTAGATTGAGGAACGGGGGCAGCGACCTCCATGATGCGGTCCACAATCTGCATAGCCTGCACCAGGGCGGGCGCCTCCGGCTCGCGTGCCGGCAGCCGTCGCGGCAAAGGAGGAAGGGAGGGGGGGCGGGCAAACCCGAGCAAGGACGGTACTCAGGAGCCTCTGCCTCCTGCCTGCCTCCTCTCGCCTCCTGCCTGCGCCAACGCCTCCGCTTTCTCCTCTGCTCCCCCTTCCGTGCGTAATCCAATTGTTTCGCTTCCTTTTCCACATCCCCACCGTGCCCTCATCCCGCGATTATTCCAAGCCTTCTTGTTCCGCAGAGTTCGTGGTCTTAGTTGATCTTGATACTGTGCAGCCCTCTCATGATTGCCCCACAAAGCTGCTAGCAAACACCATCGGCATCACCATCATGGTACACGTATGTGTATGCACACATATGTATGGTCGAATCTGCTCAAAGTACAACGGAGATGCGCCACTCTAGTTACTCGATTTGCTGGTCCTACGTAAGCCACGGGACCCCGCTCCAACCCAGGGGCATCGGCGGGCGCCCCTTGGGTACAGCTGGGCAGCTGGCCGCGCCACGCCGCGCCCCCAGCAGCCCACTGTGGCGCACATCGGGGATGGAGGTGCTGACTGCTCGCAGCCAGGCGAGCCCCCGGTCGCCTGGCTGCGAGCAGCCACTCGGGGCTCGTCGCCACCCGGCCCCCGCGGACCCGCACGTGAGGCGCATCAAGAGCAAGCGCTTTGCGTATCTACTTCGGATGCTGGCCAGAAGACTACGGCGAGTAGAACTGTTGCTCGGTTACACGCTCATCCTCGAAACTATGTTGGCCAACGGGATTCAAACTGCAGCCAACTTGCTGACGCAACGCCGAAGGCACAACGACGAACACGCCTAAGCAACTTGGAGTGCGTCCTCCAACGGGGAAGTCATAGACCGACCTGAAAGGATGAATAAAACTTGGCGAGGCAATGCGTCCAGACCCACAGCGCCTCATTGGACCCGGCCAGCTCGTTGCATTTCAGCGCAACGCATCGGGCACGTTAGTGCTGCTGCTCCGCCCGCAACGCTCACCACCCAGAGTTCAGATGAGGGTCACCAGTGTGCCACGTGCAGGTTTGAAGAACACACTCTGCTCGTCGTGTTTGGTGGTTGCTGCCACTGGTGTCGAACACGCGTTGCTCATTACATCGTTGTCCTCATCCCCTCGCCTCAGTATCTTGCTCCACGTTCCACCCTACTTCGCCCTGCTGGCTGCCCCAAACAACTGTGGCCCTGTGGAGTCGTCTGATCGGCCAGATTCGCTGTGCTCTCTCGTCACAACAGGTCGGCTGGAGCACCCCGTTCGAGCGCGTCGTCCTGTTGGGACAGATTACCCCTGTGATGACAATCGTTTCGTCGCTGATGGGGAGCGGAATCGTGCCCCCCGCCTCGGCGACCGCTTAAAGCTACCACCCTTTCGCGTGGTAGGTCTTCTCCTGGTCTGCCCTGCTAGCCGCGCCGCGCGGTCCAGCGTACGGTGGCGCACTTGCCCATGCCACTCGGGCGCGGTCGACGCGGTGTAAGCTATCGTGTCCAGGGCGAGCGGTCAGACATCATCTGAGGCCCACTTCTTCTTTTTTTAATACAAGCGCATACACACCCAAACACACACACACACCCACCCACACACACACAACGCGGGAGAGCCTCCCCGGGTCGTGCGCGGTCGAGCTGCCGCGCCGCGTGAGGCGGCCCCGCGCCGCGTGGGCCCTCGGACGATGGAGGCCCCTCGAAGTTGGGAAGGGGGGGAGGGATCCTGGCGGGGACAGCAGGCGACCACAGCCGCATCGACGACACACCCTGGGGGATGTCTTGCGCACGCCAAGCACTGCCAGAACACCGGGCGCAACTTCGTCCTGGTCGTGGTCGATGTGGCGTTCCAGGACGGCGAACTAGACCACAACCACAGCCGAAGCGCTCATGCCGAGGTCGGTGCGTCCGCCCCCGAGGGGCCCTCCCGAAACATCCACTCAATTGTGGTTGTGGTCCTTTGTTGTGCCAAGACTCCAACATCCTCCCCGTCCTCTTCTCGTCCTCGCCCGCATCCCGCGACGAGGTGTGAGGGTGCCCTTTCGCGCCCACGATGGCTCCAAGAGGGCCTCTGATGCTCCAAGATTGCCTCCAAGATGGCTCGAGGTAGACGAATATGATTCAAGATAGCTTCCGAGATGCCTCTAAGAGGCCCCAGGAGGGCTACAAGACAGCTTCAGGTGCTTCGGAGCCCCTCAGGACCTCCCGATGGGGTCTTGAGGCCTGAAGAATACCTGAGATGTCCCAGGAGAGCCCCTAAAGAGGCCAAAAAGGCCGCTAAGACAGCCCCAGGCAAGAAGACCGCAAGAGGTGTGCTTTAAATGTTCCTGAAGGGGCTGAAATCGAGGAGCCCCCTCTTCTGATCGACGCCGTGCAAAGTGGCCTCAAGAGGCTATCTGGGGCTCCGAAGAGGCCCAGAAGAGGCCCCCCCCAAGACGCTAGCCTATCGAGAGCCCTTCAAACAAACCCCATGAAGACCCCAAGACTCTCCAAATTAACCCAACGAGGACCCAAAGGGAACCTCAAGAGGACCAAGAATACTCCAAGGTGGCTCCAATAAGTATCGTCCTCGTTGGGTTTCGCCATCCTCCCCATTCCTTCTACTCCACGTTCTCCGCTGCATCCTCCTCATCCTTCTGCGACTGTAGTCTCAACAATTCTAGTCTTGGGTGCGCCAAGGTTGATTATGGTATTGGGCTAGACGGCTGACTCGCCTGTCTGTTCCACTAAATACTCCTACACTGCCCTGATTCGGGCAACTCCCCTTGCGATCGTTTCTGGATGGGCCGGGGGTGATACGCGACACGTGCAGAATTGTTGCATTTCGACCATCGAGGGTCCGCAGCCGTGCCCCCTGGCACGTTGAGGCGTGGTAGAGTGCCAAGTGCTGCCTGGTAGGGTGTTTATAGTTTTCTGAAGCCCCCCCCCCCAGTAGCACGTCCTTGCGTACATCGCCTCCCCCCCTCTCGAGTCTTCCAGAGCGCCCCGGCGTTTTCTTCGCTCTCTGCACGGCCTGGAGGATGTGCAAGATCAAGATGGCTGGGGAGCGGGTGGGGCTTGTCCTGAACGGACAACGCCCGCGCCGGGACCGACAACGGATCCAGTTCAAAATGGGCAAGACATGCTGCTATCAGTCTTGGGCAACGCTCAATGGGGGGGCCTTAACGGGGGGGTAGTACGGGAGAGGGGAGAAAGGTGCACTTCTCGGGCCCTGAAGACCCCTCTCTGGCACTCAGTGGCGCTCTTTTCTGCAACCCTCGCTGCCCCCCCACACACATTTCTCGCCCCCCCCCAGTACGCGACGTTCAACTGTTTTCGTCCCCTCCTTTTCCGTCCGCATTTCGATCCTCCTGAGGTGACGGCGGGCGCGGGCGGGCCGAAGGAGGCGCTCGGCTGGAAGGGGCCTTCGAATCCAGGTCTCCGTCGCCCCATCCGTTCTGCTGCGCCGACAGCGCCTTCGCCGCGGGGCGCTCGCGCGCGCGTCCGCTTGTCCACGGGGGGGACGGGGAGAGGAGCAGGAGCAGGAGGAGCAGGAGCAGCAGGGAGCAGGAGGAGGAGGAGGAGGGGGAGGAGGAGGAGGCGGAGGAGGCGGAGGAGGAGAAGGAGGAGGAGCAGGTTCACGTGCCCCTAGGGGGATACAAGGGGGGAAGGCGGGCGGGCAGGAAGGGAAAGGGGCGAGAGAGAAGAGCAACTGGGAGGTTGTAACATAAAGGAGAAGCGGGATCGCCCCTTTTGGGAGGGATGAGGGCGCGAAAGAAAAAAACATGATGGGGAGGCAGAGGAAGAGGTGGAAGCAAATGCGACGCGCGCCGTCGCACATTGG